AAAAAAACCTGCCTATGTGAATACTTATGTGGATAAAATTTGCGACATATAATTAGTACTCATAAGTTGCGAATAGTGGGTATTTTAATACCCGCTTATAAGCAGGTCGAGTGCGGGTATTATTTTACTCGACCCGCAAGTACATGTTACTTACAAACAATAAAAATAAAAATTTAATTTATATTTTATTTAATTAAATTAAATTTAAAATATTTTTTTTATTATATTAAAATTAATTAAAATTAAATTTTAATTTATATTTTATTTTATTTATATTAAATTGTATATATTTTTTTATAATTTTATTTTAAAAATGTATAAATTATATATTTTTTAATATCCATGAATATTCGTGGATACATCCGTTGAATTTTTTGAAACGGGTATACGTGGGTAGCGGGTAGGGATGACAACGGGTCGGGTCGGGCACAGATAGTGCCTATCCGCACGAATACCCGCTTAAAAAATATCGCGAATATTTTAAAACCTGCGGATATCCATGGATACCCGTAGATACCTGCAAATATTTAAAATAATATATTTTTATAAAATATTATAATAAAACTTAAATAAAATTACAAAAAATATATAAAATATAATATATAATATATATTAAATTAAATATAAATTAAAATTTAATTTTAAATATATTTAACCTTATAAAATATAAATTAATGTTAATTTTAATTAAATTTAACTTAATAAAATATAAATTAATTTTTTTTTTCGAGTAGCAGATATCCGCGGGTACGGATAGTATAATACCCGCACCCGACCCATTTATAAGTGGATATTAAAAAACCCACTACCCGCAACCCGCGGGTAGTAAATATTCGCGGGTACCAACTATCCGTTATGAATTTTATCTGCGGATATCCGTGGGTACGAATTTTTTTGCCATCCCTATTAGCGGGAGGGTTGTAGGTGGAGTTCTCATTTTGCAAGTTGGGTTGTGGGTAGGCACTATCTGTACCAAACTCGACCGGTTGTCATCCCTAATTCAAACCATATTTAAAAGCTAAAACATTGCTAACACAACTCGACTCAAACCCGTGGTGAGTCGGGTTGACTCACATGTCAAAACCCATTTTGACATCTTTATTGAGTAGGTAACTCAATACCTGAATTAGTAACATAGGAGTACTTGTAGATTATTGACGATTCGTAAGAGGTTTAATGAGTATGTGATTGAATATTGTGGTTTCTTGTTGTACTAGAAGGGTACAATTGTAACGCCCCATGCCCAATTCAGGGTGTCATGAATTATATTTAAAGTTAAGATGTTTCAAAGTTCTTATAACGCGTAAAAAATGGTGTTAATTAAAAACTTCGACATTTAAAACGTGCGAAATTAAAACAAAGTCCTAACTTTATCAAAAATATTATTCAATTACATAATTCTAAAATTAATAAAATAAACAAAGAATAAAATAAACCTAATCACTCCTAAAATTTATAGCACAAAAACTTTAAATAAACCAAGTCTTTTCCCCAGTCTCTATCATGCATCTGGAGCATCCCTTGCCCTTATAACAAAGGTCATACGATCATTGCAAGACACAAACACAAACACAAGCAAGTATGGGTAAGCTACCATTAACACAACCAATAACAATATAATATATAATAGCAAATAAGCACAACATAACAAAAAATATTCATCTACAACGTTATCCTTACTAGCATCATCATTTCTACACCATGATCATCATCAACATCTTCATCAACCATATCATGATCATACATCAATGTCATCATATCAACACAGTTTCCAAACACATTGTTCATCATGAAAACATCATCATGAAGTACCTTGCTTTATCACTTGTACCAACCTCACACACCTGTTATATCAAACAGGATGGTTCAAGTCGTCCCACCCTCACAAATAAAGGACCTGTTTTCTTGCTCTACAAGAACTTACGAGTAAAAAGATCGAAGCATCGCACACTAGACATTATACTCAACAAAGGAACTAGAGTCTAAGCAAAACATCATTCCCCTCTTCGCGCATCGCATGGCCGAAAAGGGTGCAACACTCGAACCCCACTCTCTTCCCACATCGCCATAATCAAAAAGAACCTTTTTCCGTATGACATAGTGGAAAACCTAAAACCCAGATTTATAAGGTACAAAATAGACACGCCCATCTCCTCACACATATACTACTAATAGGTAAAACCCACATACTCTTAACTTCACCCTCAAAAGTATATTAAATCATAACCCATTACATTCATCTTCCCATATTGGTATAACAACTCCTAATCACATGAAGTCAACCAAACACAAATATAATAGTCAAACTAAATACTAATCACATCTCCCTTTTTTCACCATACATAAAACAAATTATAAAGTTCATCCATATTCCAATATGAGTCCAATGTGGACCTCCCATGGGTCCCTCTTAGAGAATAGGTCACAAAAGTATACCACTCAACATCAAGCCCACAAAACAATCCAAATTATTCATAACATATACTATGTAAACCCATTATTTTTCTTCAAGCCATTGTTTTTGATTATTATCCTATTTTAATGTTATTTGATTAAACTTCAAAACATGAGAAGTTTAGGCGTATAGACGATTTTGTCTTTAACAAGAGTGACTAGAATACTCAACCAAGTTTAGGTTATACTTGGATGCTAGGAGTGGCTAAAATACTCAACCAAGAGTGAGTTATACTCGAGTGCTCGAAGTGGCTAGAATACTAACTAAGAGTGGGGTTAAAACTCGTTGTAATCTGAAATATTAAGGAACCTCTTAAGATTCTTAAGAGAAAACTGGACGTAGCTTAAAAGTTTGAGTGAACTAGTATAAATATTGTGTCTTAATGCTTTTTCTTTTAAAACTATTGTTTACGTTTTTATGTCATCTGAAAGAGTAATTGTTAATCGTACATAAATGATGTCTAAACATTAATCTAGTTTGCATACTATTATTAAAAACCATTAAACGCTGCTTTGTGAAAGTGACGAAACGACATAAAATAGTGCCTGACAATGTTAGAAAACAACAAAAGAGGCACTTGAAAGAATTAAGATTAAGAAAGTAAGACCGAAGTACTCACTATTTTGAAAGACAAAATTTTTATGACCGTTAAACGAACAACAAAGACAATACTAGAAGAAACTCAAATAACTTACTTTAATATTATTATGTTGAGATTAAAATGCACAAATGTATTTTTAAAAAGCTTAAAAGATTTCTCTCAATTTTTATTTATAATAAAAAAAGAACTAATACAAGAATATATGAAAGATTAATGGACATTACTAGATTTTTATATATAGAACTAGTTACGATTATATATATAACTAATAAATTGTCTAGTATTATACAGACTTAACGATGATTCTAACCTGTAAATTAAGAAAAAGTAATTGTTGACCTTCTACATTAAATCAAATTATTTTACACGTTTAAAATGTTTGATTTTATATAGTTAATTTTTTTATCGTAACATAATTTTAATATGGCATATAATAAATAATAAATTTAATCATCTTATTCTCTATAAAAAAAACATAAACTAAAATAATAATACATTTATACTTTTATTTATAAAAAAATTATCAAAGAAGTTTTAAATACCCCTAAAACCACTTTATTAATTTTGTTCTGTCTTGTCTCTTTACAAATATTCTCTCCCAATGGTCAACGTTTCATTTTATGTTTTATATCGTTAAAAGTTTTTAGGGTTAAATATGTTTTTAGTCCCTAAATAGTGGTCATGTTGATTTTCGTCCCTCTTCCAAAGTAAGGACAATTGGTCCTCATTCTTAGAAAAACGTCGTTTTAGTCCTCAAAATTTTGTTTTTGCCTCGTTTTAGTCCTCAAAACGTTCGTTTTGGACTAAAACGAAACGTTTTTTTAAAGATTGAGAACTTTAAATTGTACCTTCTTTGGAAGAGGGACGAAAATCAGAAACGGTCAATAGTTTAAGGACTAAAAACATATTTTAACCCAAGTCTTTATGATCTTTCACCCCTCATTGATATATATAATTGACTCCATAGACGATTTAAATTCTATTCATCTTCAATATAAATAAATCAAAAGAAAACATACAAAAACATATACTAAAGATTGTATTGAATTTAAAATTAATATACTCGTTAATATGTATTAAATAATAAAAATTGAACTTCAGAAAATAAAATTATATTATAAAATAATAATAATAATTTATATTAAGCTAGAAAAGAAAGAGGAAGGATGAAGAGCAGATCCCCAGTGGGGTTCGCATTGTATCTGCTACTAACCAAAGAACACAAGGAAAGAAACCAAGGAAAAGTAGTGTATGAGAGTGGGCGAAAGAGAGACGCGTGAGAGTTATAGTACAAAAAATGGGGAGTCTAGTGTATCAGGGGATTTCCTCCGCTGCATTCACGCTTGGGATGTACCACCTCATCAGTACCACGCGCAACTACCTCAAATCGCCGCACACCTACGTCGCCAAACCCTTCCACCCCTTCCCCTACCCTCGCCGCCTCCAGCTCTACTTCCTCATTTTCGCCCTCCTCGTCGCCATCGCCCACGACCTCCTCATCTCCGTCGACGCCGACCCCTTGCTCCGCGGCGCCACTCCTGTCCACCTCCTCCTCTCCCTCCAGTCCGCCGCCACGCTCTTCCTCTTCCTCCTCCTTGGCCTGGCCCTTCTCCTCGCCGACTCCTCCCCTTCCATCCTCCCCCTCCCCGCCGAACTCGCCTTTCGCCCTTGCCTCCGGCCTCTTTCTCCTCCACTCCGCCCTCGCCTCCGCTCGCGCAGCACTTCAGACCTCCGCCATCGAGGCCAAGTGCCTCTCCGTCTCCGGCAGCCTCTCCTCCATCTCCGCACTCCTCTGCCTCCTCCTTGCCGCCCTCCCCCGTCTCTTTCCCGCCGACGCCGCTCTCGCCGCCACCTTCTGCCTTCGCGGCCTCTGGTCTCTGCAGACCGGCCTCTCCCTCTATGCCGACGCCTTCATCCCCGACGGCTGCCACCGCCTTCTCGACGTCAAGAGCGGCGTCGAGGGATCCACGCAGTGCGATCTCGACGAGTCTAAGTTCGCCGCCGTTGCGATTCTCGATCTGGCGTTCCTGATCCACGCTATCTTCATCGTTCTCCTCTTGCTCATAACCTACGCGCTCGTCGCCAGGAGCGTTGGTCTGAGAAGGCTCGGATCCTATGAAGCGCTGCCCACGGCGACTTCATCTTTGGACGCCAACCACAGCCATATTCAGATGATGGGGCTTGACCGGCACCCAGGCTTGAAACTTTTCGCTCATTATATTACCTCTTTTTTGTTCTTTTTTATTTTAAAATTTCTTATCTGTCTTCCTCTGATCATAATGTAGGTTTGAACTTTGTGAATACACCATAGTATTCCTGTTTAGTGAGTGAGGCGAATTGTTTATGTAGTTCAATTTTGTTTCATTACCTGTTACTGCTTTGCATATTCCTAAACACCCCTTCAATACATATGATATGAACATGGCTCTAAATTGCGATTGCAACGGCATCATGCATATGCAGATTAATTCTTTTCATATTCCTTATGATTACAAGGAGTGTAGCAGGTACTCTCAATTGTGGATTGCCTCTTTTAGACTTTTGATTATCTAATTTGGAGGGTAAATGAGCGTGTGACGATCACTAACATGAACTCCATACGAAAATGAGTCATAATGAATGTAGGATGGATTGAATAAATTATGTGGTGAATAATGAAATGATGATTCATTGCATGAACTGTTAAGTTTATGTTTTCATTACATGGGAGTTCTTAGTATTTTTTTTATGAATGATGTTGAAGTGTTTACATTTCGTTAAACTGGCCTCTGAAGTGCTTGGAGTAATATTTAGGTGGGCCAATCCTTGGAATCTTAACGTCCATTAAGAGGGGTGAGTGAGTGATTGATGCAAGGTTCTTTTTCATGTCCTTTATTTCTCTTTGGTCTGATTCTGTTTTAGAGGCATATCTTCTAATCTGCTTAAGTTATTTTCTTCTCTCAGCATATAGGATTAAGGTGATGGCATGAGGATAATAATACTTAACAGATTTTATGTAGTATAAACTATTATAGCTAGGGGACAGGGTTTCAAAGAAAATAGTATGAATTACTGGGTTATGCATGATTTACTTGATAGAAAAGTAGTTTGGCACCAAACAGTTTGGTCACTATGGATGAAATCGAAGATATTTGTACTGGGTTCCACTTTAGTTACTGCACGAGGTAGATTGGCCATTTATTTTCCGTATTCCGACATAAGCAAACAACCTTTGAAATGCACATCACTAAATATGTCTTTGTTTCTACCGAGATTATTTGATTAATATCCCTCTTGTGATTAATATCGCTCTTATAGTACATGAAATGTATTTTCAAGGGATGTATGTGGGGGCATTCAAATACTGCATACATGGAGAGTCCGAAGACAATATTTCTTTTTTTTCTTTTACACGGCCCATTTTATCTGTAGTGCAAGCAGTCATTCTCTCTCGTGTGCATTTTTATTGAGCTGATGTGGCAGGATACAATTTCTTCACGCATTATAGTTGGAAAAATGGCATGCCAAAATCATGGTTAGTAACTTCTCCGTTTTTTATGGGGCTGAAACTGATAATGGAGTACAGAACGTGTTCTGGATGTGCTGACTTGGATTATATTACATATATTGATAATTGATGTCAGCTTGCGAGTCATGATCGCAGAGCAAAGAAATATAATTAGACAGGGAGCTTTAGTGCTAATATGTAGGGACTCGTGAAGTAAAATATTTCTGATTGCTTCAACAAACCTGCTTTTGGTGACGGCGGAAAAGTTTCCCTTGGTTAGAAAAAGTTGAATTTCAAACAGCTAGTCAGGTAATAAGTTTGAGAAATTAATGAGGAGGAATAGAAGGTTATTTTCCACCGCAAATCCTCCATTAAATATTTGGTTATTAGTTTGCGTCTAAGGAAGACATGTCTATGGGGTTTTTTTATAGAAGAAAAGGTACTTAATCTAGAATTTCTCTCAAAATATATCAGTTTACCTGCAATGTTTGACTCTAAATCAATCTGTTCTGACACTCTATTAAACAGGGTATGGTATCAAGAAAAAAAAATTAATAAATCTCATAATAGTCAGATAGAAAATGTGATTTAGTGATGATAGTCATTTTCTGTTTTGTAACAAATCCAAGCCTTGTTATGTAACAAATCTCCGTACTTTTATGCTTTCTTTGAATTAGAATTTATGGAAAGCAACTATGGTTCTAAAGACTTTGATTATATACACTACATAATTCACTCCTTAATGTGGGGGAGTCAAAATCAGAGATGGCATAATTAGTTTGGTTGAGAAATTTTTGTATGATCAGGATAAGAAAATTTATTTCTCCCTAAAGTATTTGGATTGATTACTCATGCATCTAAGCGGATGTGTCTATTTGAATTGATTATACGTGCATCTTCTAGTTTACCCTGGTAGATATGTCTATGGAAGAAGAATTTTTTTTTCTTCCTTCCAGAAAGTATACAAATTTATGACATTTATGACGGATTGACTATGAATTAGTCTTCCCTTTTCTACAGTGTTGCCCTGAGCTCGTTGAGATAGGCAAACTGCCCAGTGTCTATGCTAGTGTATTTTAGTGTCCATGTTTAGAGAAGTCAGATTTTATAGTCTAAATTTGAAAACTCTTAATTAACTCTTTATTAACTTTTTGTGGTATATTACATCTTCAAAATTTCATAATTTTTCAATTGAGTCTTTTTTGTTAGATTTTTCTGTAAGTATATAATATAACAATTTACTGTTATTCTGGATAACGAGTCTTTCATAAGAATTTAATAAAAACTATTTTTAAAGTTAATCAAAATTATTAAAATTACAAAGTTTAAAACTAAACTAAAAACATGATAAAATTTAAATTTACTTTTTTTTCTATTATATTTTTATAAATTTTTTAACTTTTTAAAATTTGTAGTTTTATAGTTTTACAATTTATAATCTTATAATTTACAATTTGAAAATTTTATACTTTTATAATTCTACAATTTTATAATTTTACAACTTCATAATTTTATATCTTTACAACTTTATAAACTTATAATTTTATAATTATCAAATTTTATAATTTTATAACCTAACAATTTTGTAATTTTATAATTTTCTAACCTTTTAATTTTGAAAATTTGTAGTTCTATAATTTTACAACTTAATAATTTTGTAATTGCATAATTCTATAATTTAATTATCTAATTTTAAAATTTTATATTGTTATATTATTTTATAATTTATAATTTTAATTAACTTTAAAATAGTTCTATTAAAAGCGAAAAATCTGTGTGAGATCTTTATACTCCTGTTATTTTGTAATAAAATTTTACATAATGACATTTAAATTGGATCTTGTAATAAAACATTATATAACGACATTTAGGATGATAATGTGAGATAATTGTCAACTATATATTAGACTCAATTAAAAAAAATTTAAATTTTAAAGACTTAAACTACAAAAATTAAATAAAGAATCAATTAAAATTTTTTGAGGATCCAAAGCTTAATTAAGTCTATAATTTATAATAAATTAAAGGCTTAATACTATTGTTGGTTCTTACTTTTGTCAATTTTGTTCAATGTGAGATTCATATTTTCGAATGTTCAATGTAATATCTTATATCGTTATTTATGTTTAGTTTGGTCCTTTTGGCTGACGACGTTTAAATAGTTAACGATATAGTCACTAGTACAAAAATAACGTACAATGTCGTTGGTTTTGGGCTTTTAACGGTGTACTCGAGGTCGACGTCATATCAGGAGATGTTATATTAACGTCGAATTACACATGTTGACGTTAATAAGTCATAGAAAATGTCGAACAATAGAAGACTTCGACGCCTAAAATGTGACTAAATACAGAATGATCAGATGAATGTAGAGGAAGATTTGGCATCTACTGCAAGGGGGGCAGGACGTAATATTCACGTCGAAGTTCTCCCTCAGACGGACATCAATATGTGACTATATCCACAATGGGTTGTTAGATGTAAAGGGGGATTTGACATCCACTGAAACTAGTGTGAGACGTAAGAATGACGTCGAATAACACTAGCGGCCGACGTCACACTCGCTGAGCCATAGAGGAGTTTGTCCAACGGTGCATTAGTATGATTGCCCATTGGAACGACTGTAGCGTCATTTAATGTCAAGGTCGACGTCAAGACACTTATGTATCGTTGTGCAGTGTATAGGCCGACGTTAAATTAGGTTTTTTTTTAAAAATATGGGTCGTTTTTGCTCATTTAACCAAACCTGAAATACAAAAATCAGTTTTCCAGTTCAAATATTCACAGAATTCATCAATTCACAGTTTACACCATTCTATCATCAATTCAAAAGTAAATCTAAAAGCTAAAGCAAATGTTATTATCAAAACAAAAAGTTAAAGGAAAAATCTGAAATACAGAAACCAGATTTCCAATTCATATATATTTACATAATTAATTAATTCACAGTTTATTTAAACCATGCTATCATCAATTCATAAGTAAAACTAAAAGCAAAACAAATGTTATCATTAAAACAAAAAAAAAAACACCTAAATGGCATAACCTATTTTATCTGACGTGGCTGCCTCTCGTCATCTTTATTTGGCCACTTCATCATCTTCTATCTTTAACCTCAGGCATAACAGTTCACCACCGTGAAAATATCATATTTCTTTAAATCTAAATGAAATTGCATTTATGATTTTAATTTTTCAATGGGGGAATTTTATCAGAGAACCCAAATAAGGGTCAAGACTTTGTTCTTTTACAATTTGGAAACCCAGCCTTAGGGTTACACAAGAGAGATTCTTCTTCAATCTCTTCTTTTCTCCATTTAGCATAAGAAAAACCTAGAAGCTTCAAGCTTCTTTCCCTTCCTTTCTCGCGAATGAATTGGTCTTGGACGACATTTTTCTTCCGTGCAAAGTTCTCGCCTGGGGAGGGTTTTCTTGTGCTTTTCTTTCTTCTGATTCAAGTTCGCGTGGAGGCAGGAGTTTTGTGCAAGTAGGGCGCGAACATGCGACTGACAGCGGCGCGCTAGAATAGACCTTGTTGATGGTGTTATCGTGGAGGGGGAAGAGTTGACCTGGTGTTCGCGGTGTGGTGGCCTTCTTTCATTAATGCTCTCACAACCACTGGGTAGTGCATCACATAGGGAATTTTGGTTTTCTTTTTGGGGTTTTATTGATCTTGTTTGCGAAATTGGAAATGGGGATTTAGGGTTTTTGTGTTGGGAGATTTTATGTTCTTAATCATTTAGCATTCACAATTGAGGTTGATGGCTACGTTTTGGGGTTGTCTCTGGGATTGAGAGTTATGTTCTATATTTGATTATTGGTTTTTATCTGGTTGCGCGAGTGGTGGCAAGGGAGGCGTAGATGGAGGTGACTATGGATGTCACGGTGGTCGTCAATTCGATAAAAACTCTAATATTAGAAAATCACTTCCAAATATAAAAAATTCACGTCACTATGTGTTTAAGTGGCCACGTCAGCCAATAATTTCATG